ATATCATCACCTTCAGGGAGCTTGGACCTCAAGGCAAAGTGATAAGTTGATGAGGACATGGAATTGTGGGAAGTGTATTTTTTCCCTTAAGATTTAAAGACATGTCCTGTATGAAAACCAGTTCTCTATCTTTATTTTACAATGTAATTTTAATTACCTGCCCGTATTTATAATGCTGTGCTGAAGTTTCTTAATCTCTTATTTTTTCCCCAAGCCTATCAGACTTAATGTTGGCTTCCTCCGCTGTCTAACTAAACTAGATTAATATTTCTGCAAATACTTCTTTCCTGCTTGTCTGGTTTGTTTCTTAAAAGAAATATTCACATATAGCATTCACTTGATTTCTTTGGTTTTCATTACTCAGGCCAAAGCTGCCCTCTGTTTGTACAAATGATAACGTATACAATTAGGCATTTAAAAGCTACTACACTATAAAGGCATTTAAAGTAGATAAAAATCTAAGATGTATTTCTATAATTAGTATTACCTAGAAATTCCACTTATTTCACAGACAAATGAAAAATGACAATCATGCCACTGTACTTCAGCCTGGGCAACAGAGCAAAACCCCATCTCAAAAGAAAGAAAGGAAGGAAGGGAGAGAGAGATGAGGGGAGGGAGGGAGGGAGGGAGAGAGGGAGGAAGGGGGGAAGGGAAAGGGGAAAGGGAGGGAGGGAGGGAGGAATACTTTTGTTCCTATTTTTAGATTATTCAGTACTTGACAGTGTGTTGAATTTATTTTTATTTTAACAAAGTCATAAATACGAATAATTTAGAGTCTAAGTGCTACCAGGCATATTATGGAAAAGCACAGTTCCCTATTTCTCACATGGCCCAACAGGAAAGGAGCAAGGAGAATCACCGCATCAGCTTCCGTCTCCTCCTGCCCTCTATCCTTGCCGTGTTTGTCACGTTAGCACAATCAGAGGTAGAGGGCAAGGGAGCCTGGTTGATGTCGTTCATAAGACTGGCCTCCTTGGCCACAGAGAAGGGTAAAGTGGATCTGGAATGACAAAATATCAAGCCCAGTAGTTTGGATTTTCTTGAGCACTTTTTTAATTTCCTGTATGGTTTTTTAAAAAATATAGCATCCTTCCTGTATGGTAGATGCAGTTTCTTTTTTTTATCACTCAGAATATTTTTTTCTTCTTCAAGCACATGCTCTGTTTTGTTCAAGCTGCTATTTTTCTCTCTGTTTTTTTTAAAGACTGAGTCTTGGTCTGTCACCCAGGCTAGAGTACAGTGGCACACTCAGGGCTCACTGCAGCCTTGAACTCTTAGACTCAAGTGATCCTCCTGCCTCAGCCTCCCGAGTAGCTGGGACTACAGGCACGCACCGCCATACCCAGCTAAGTTTTAAATTTTTTGTTGAAACAGGGTATCCTGTTGTTGCCCAGGCTGGTCCCAAACTCCTGGCTCAAGCAACCCTCCCACCTCAGCCTCCCAAAGTGCTGGGAATACAGGCATGAGACCCTGCAACCAGCCAAGTTAGTTTTTTTCTTTCATTTTGGTTTCTCTCATATTCAAAGACTTTCCTCACTTATCTGCTCATATTTAACAGTGAGGCACTAAAAGTTGATTGGGAGCTTTGTGTATGTGGGGGCGCCTGTCATCTCAGATTTTTATTATAGGTTGGTTTGGCTGGCTGTGTCATTGGGAACCCTCAAAATCCATCTCATGAAATCTTTTCTTTGAAGCTGGGTTGGATTCCCCAGAGAATGTTCTTCCCACATCTTGAAGGTGCCTGATTCTGGCATTGTGAGAAGCCAGGTTTGGGGAAGGCTGGAAGTCTCAGCATTAAGTCATCTTTCATTACCCTGGCCAGCATGCCTTTGCGCTTGCTGTTTCTAATACCTGCCCTCACTTCAGGCTGTCCAGAGCATCCTTCCATTTCACCTTGTCAGAAAAATACATCTCAGTCGTCTGCAGGAGTCAGGGAAGGAGAAGTCTGCAGTCTGACTATTTCTGAAACAGTTTTTGATCAGTCCTCTGCCTTTTCCCTCCTTCACTGGACTTCAAAGCCTTCAAAGCCTGTTTAAATGTCTTACTCTTGGCTTTTACTATTACCAGCATAAGGTTCAAATTTCCTCAGTATGCTAAATTAGTTATCACTTGTCTGTCTGTCCCTGGCCACTTATTTTTGTCTCTAGTTCTCCTCGTCCCTGCGAGATAATACATTACTTATTTTTATTTAGTAGGTTTTGGGAGGGAGCAGACGCTAATACATGCACTCAACCTGCCATGTTTAACTAAAAATTTGTATATAATGTTGTAATGAAAGTAAAATAGTTTTATTTTAAATGTTGTTTCTTGATAACAGATATTGTATCAGTGATCTCAGTGACAGGAACAACCAAGCACCTTGAAGCTCAGTGAACCCCGAAGGGTCCAGGACGTCATTGTTTATATCTCCTTGTTAGGAGCTCCGGAGACCATAGCTGATGCCTCCAGCAAGTCTGGAGGCCAAGAGATGTTGGAAGAGAAGCAATAATAAAAAATTCTAGGCTGAGTGCAGTGGCTTATGCCTATAATCCCAGCAATTTGAGAGACTAAGGTGGGCAGATCGCTTGAGGCCAGGAGTTTGACCAATATGGTGAAGCCCCATCTCTACAAAAATACAAAAATTAGCCAGGTGTGGTGGTGCACACTTGTTATCCCAGCTACTATTTGGGAGGCTGAGGCATGGTAATTGCTTGAACCCGGGAGGCAGAGGTTACAGTGAGCCAAGATTGTACTGCTGCATTCCAGCCTGGGTGACAGAGCAAGACCCTGTGTCAAAAAAAAAAAAAAAAAAAGAATCTGGATTTTTTTTTTTGCTTATTTTTATTGCTATTCACTGTTTTTTAAATGTATTTATTTTTGAGTGTACAAGTTAGCAACTGCCCTCCTTATCAAGGAGTCCTCCGGCTGCCTGACAGACCCATCCTTTGTCAAACGACACTCATCTCACGATTGGTATTGTGACTGTACCAATAAATTACACCCTGCCTGGATTTCAGGGGAGACTCTGCTATGAACCCACAGATACACTCTTAATATCATGATTCATTAAATCACTTAAGGGTTCCTAAGGAAAAAAAATGGCCAAAGTTATCGTAGTGGAACCAATGGTAAAATGCATGTCCTCCTTTCCCATTCCTGTGTCTGTTTAGTATCTAAAAGTAAACACACATGCACATACCACACACAAATGCACACTTGGTTTTTAAATTATGGTGTTTTGTTTTGTTTTGTTTTTTGTAATTCCTGTTCTTGGATTTCTGTGTATTGATGGAGAAATCAGAAAAAGCAGGCCAGGTGGCTCACACCTATAATCCTTGCTCTTTGGGAGGCTGAGACAGGAGGGTGGCTTGAGCCCAGGAGTTTGAGACCAGCCTGGGTAACATAGGGAGACCCATCTTTACCAAAAATAAAAAAAAAATTGGTTGAATGTGATGTTACATGCCTATGATCCCAGCTACTTGGGAGGCTAAAGTGGGAAGATCTCTTGGGCCTGAGTGGTCAAGGCTGTAGTGAGTTGTGACCGCACTACTCCAGCCTGGGCAACAGAGTGAAACTTTGTCTCAAAAACAACAACAACAACAAAAATAACTGATAGATCCTAATAAAAATCTATTTTATTCCCTGAGGCAGCCATAAGTTTGACTGTCACATTCACTATAGCGGTTTTCCTGTCTCTAAGCCTTTATCTAAATTTTCAACTCACTTACCAGTCCCTGTCACTCCACAAACATGACTTATTACTGTTCTAAAAAAATCAGAATTATTCAGCCTAGGCTCCCTTGCTGTTCTCTTTTGCTTTCTCTAGTTTTCTCTTCATTTTATCTGTTATCTTTCTCTCTTTCCTATGTTAGAGGAATGGTTATCCTTTTCTAAGGCTGAGTCCCACCCCTGTACCTACACACAATAGCAGAGAGAACAGTATGTACAAAAGTCTGGAAGCTTGAAAGAGAAAAATTGTGGGAAAATACAGATTCTCCTTTATGGACAAGTGGAGTTTAAAGTTAAACAGGCCTGGTTTGAATGCCAGTTCTTCTCTACCACCTCCTACTTAAATGACTTTGAGTTCACTTCTCACATCACACTTTATTTTCCTTATCTTTAAAGTGAAGAGACTGGGCACAGTGGCTCACACCTGTAATCCCAGCACTTTGGGAAGCTGAGGCGGATGGATTACCTGAGGTCAGGAGTTCGAGACTAGCCTGCACAACATAGCAAAACCCTGTCTCTACTAAAAAAAAAAAAAAAAGAAAAAAAATTAGCCTGGCATGGTGGCAGGTGCCTGCAATCCCAGCTACTTGGGAGGCTGAGTGAGGCAGGAGAATTGCTTGACTCTTGGAGGCAGAGGTTACAGTAAGCCAAGATCATGCCACTGCACTCCAGCCTGGGCAACAGAACAAGACTCCATCTCAAATAAGTAAGTAAGTAAGTAAATAAATAAATAAGGTGAAGAAAATGCCAGCTACTTCACAAGGTTGTTGGGAGATTTCACAGCATATGGTAAGCTCTCAGTAAATGGTAGCTGGTGTTGCTGTTATGGCTGGAGTAAAACTATGACAATAGTTCATCTTAAAACAAGGATTTGCTTATTCCTAGAATAAGCATTTGTTCATATTTCTGTCACTTGGCGTTAACCATGAATATAAGCCCTACAAGGTCAGGAACTCTGTCCTCGTCTTTATATTTTAAGCATGTACCACATGTGCAACATATAATGTAAATGTACATTGTGTGTTGAATGAATGAATGGTGTGGCTTAATTTATATTGATTTAATAGATTAGTAAATTCACTTTTTTTTCCAGTTTGCTGTGGATAATTAAAACCTTCCAAAGATTTTCAGATCACATTGTTAGGAATTTGCTTCATTTCTGTTACACTGTTTACAAATACTGGCTTTTAATACATTACTTTTGCATTTTAGACTTGAGTGAAAGTGTGGGTATGCTTTTTAACATGTCATCAATAATAATTAATTGGCTCTTTTTTTCTTTCCTTCAGGGAGGTGGTACAAGCAAACTGTGTTCACTGGAGAAAGAAGTTCTCGTTTATGTGCAAAATGAGTGCAAGTGCTGCCACAGGAATCCTAGATCCTTGTATCTACAGAGTATCAGTGAGGAAGGTATAAAAATAGCCTGTTACTTCTTCCCTTTCAGAAACCATAGTTAGTTCCATAGTCACCAGCTTGCTTTGTTTAGCGCTGCCTTATCTTTATCATTAGAACTGTATATGCAGTTTTACTTCACACTTGCTAAAGTAATTTAAATTATCATGGCAAATATGAAGAATCTGAGGTTATAAATTAAAATGCTACTCAAGAACCTTCATCTCACTGTCACTATACATATAGGTATTAATCTTATTTGTATTAGTTTGGGGACTATATATCTATATTCACTATTTGTTGAATTCCAGGTTTTTGTTGGGCATTGTTCTGGGAACTTTATGGGTAATATACCTAATAACCCTGAAAATAGGTATCATTTTCTCCATTTTCAGGAAACCAGGGCTTGGAGAAGTTACTTGCCCAAATTTACAGAGTTAATAAATGGCAAAGTAGGGACTCAAACACAGAGTTTTCTGATTCCAAGTCTGTTTTCTTTCCTGTATATTTTCTTTCCCAATATTAGGTTGAAGCAAATTACCAGTAATCTTAAAAAAATGTTAATTTCATATGGTTCAACTGTGTGTGTGTGTGTGTGTGTGTGTGTGTGTGTGTGTGTGTGTGTGTATGTGTATGCATATGTTATACTTACCAAAATAGTACATACAATGGTCAAAAATTAAATAGAGAAGAAGAATTTAGAATGAAAGCAAGAGTCTCTGGCCTTGTTCTTTTCCACGCTGGTTCTATGTCCTGTATCAGATAAAGATGCAGTGTCTATCATGATGCTATAAATAGCTTTTAAACATAAAAAATACTCAATTTGACACAAATTAAAATTACAAATAAGATACCATTTTTTTTTTTTGAGACGAAGTTTCGTTCTTGTTACCCAGACTGGAGTGCAATGGCGCGATCTCGGCTCACCGCAACCTCCGCCTCCTGGGTTCAGGCAATTCTCCTGCCTCAGCCTCCTGAGTAGCTGGGATTACAGGCACATGCCACCATGCCCAGCTAATTTTTTTGTATTTTTAGTAGAGACGGGGTTTCACCATGTTGACCAGGATGGTCTCGATCTCTTGACCTTGTGATCCACCCGCCTCGGCCTCCCAAAGTGCTGGGATTACAGGCTTGAGCCACCGCGCCCGGCCTAAGATACCATTTTTTACCAATAAAGTTGACAAAGATAATAAAGTTTGATAGTGTGCTTTGTTGCCTAGGACACAGGGAAGTAATCAGTGACCAGTCAGCAGGTACTATTCCAGGTACTGGGAGGACAGTGGTGAACTGGAATGAGTTCCTGCCCCCAAAGACTTTACTTTCTGGTTGGAGCTGGGGGAGGTGTGATAGGAAAGACAGAGACTGTAAACATGTAGCCAAATAAGATTATTTGAGGTCATGATAAGTGTTATGTGTAGGAAACAATTAGGTAATGGAGAATAGCTTGGGCAAAGGAGATTATTTTAGAGAACTGGGGCAGGAGTCAGTGAAGACTTCTCTGAAAGGTAACATTTGAAGAGGAGGCAACCATATAAAGGTCTAGGGAAAGAATCCCTTCTTGGATGAAGGTGATCTGCCTCTTCCTTACTACTCACCAAAAGCAAATATATGTCTTTTCCTATATCACATCACTCTGAATCTCAAATTATTTCTTCAAGTTTTCATACACAGTTATCAAGCATATGAAGAGACATGACTGCATGACCAAAAATCAAAAGGAAAAGTATATGATAAAAAGAGACCCACAGAAGATACAGATTTCGGAAAGATCAAAGACAGACTTTTATAGTAACTATTATTAGTGAACAAGATAGAGAATTTCATCAGAGAACTAAAAATTGTTAAAAAAAAAAAAAAGCAAATTCTAAAACTGAGAAGTACATTAACTAAAATTTAAAGCTAAGTAAATGAAATAACTGCAGGTTTACCATAACTGAAGAGAGCATTGGTAAATTGGAAAACAAGGCAGAAGAAAATATTCAGCCTAAATCACAGAGAAAACAAGGGTGGAATAGACAGGAAAGAAGGTAAGACATGTAGGAGACAGTAGAAAGGTCTAACTGTATAAGCCCTAGGAGGAGAGACGAGTGTGGCTGAGAATCTTCTAAAACTGATCAAAGATATCAAACCATAGATTCAGAAGTACTGTGAACCCCATGCAGTCAAGTGTGGCGTGTTTAAATGACAAGACCAGCCTGACTGCGGCATGGGAAACAGAGAGGGAAAGTTCTTGGTAATAGGATTGGATCCACTAGATCAGGCCAGGCGTTATGAAGAGTTTAGATTAATTATAATTGAAAGTATTGGAGGATTTTAATAAGGAGAGACATCATCTTTTGTCAGATCACTTTTGCTGCTGTGTTGGATGAATTGCAGAGACCACTTAGGTGGTTTGTGATAGTTGAAGGGAGAAGTGCTTATGTTTTGGCATAGAGTTACAACATAGAAATGGTTATGATTGTGCAGCGAGATGCCCAACTAAAAATAGAGGATTCTGTTACTATGGAGGGGAGGAATGGATAATTGGGATATGACTAGCATTCTTTCTGAAGAGGTTGAATGAAGGAATAGGTCCAGGAAAAGGGAGTGAGGAGTTGCCAGTGACGTAGGAATAAAACCAGGCAATTGTGGTACCATGGAAGTTTAGCAAAAAAAAATGATGCAAGGAAGGAGGTGGAGTGGCCAACCATGTAACTTACTACTGAGATGTTAAATAAGATGAAAACGCCGGGCGCGGTGGCTCAAGCCTGTAATCCCAGCACTTTGGGAGGCTGAGGCGGGTGAATCACGAGGTCAAGAGATCTAGACCATCCTGGTCAACATGGTGAAACCCCGTCTCTACTAAAAAAATACAAAAAATTAGCTGGGCATGGTGGCACGTGCCTGTAATCCCAGCTACTCAGGAGGCTGAGGCAGGAGAATTGCCTGAACCCAGGAGGCAGAGGTTGCGGTGAGCCGAGATCGCGCCATTGCACTCCAGCCTGGGTAACAAGAGTGACACTCCGTCTCAAAAAATAAAAATAAATAAATAAATAAATAAATAAATAAAAATAAGATGAAAACAGGGAGCCTTAGCTTGATAATCTTAAGAGCTATTGCAGAGGGCCGAGCACAGTGGTTCACACCTGTAATCCTAGCAATTTGGGAGGCTGAGGAGTCAGGGTTGCTTAAGGCCAGAAGTTCAAGACAAAACTAGGCAACATGGTGAGACCCTGTTTCTAAAAAAAAAAAAAAAAAAAAAAAAAAAAAATTAGCTGGGTGTGGTGGCATGCACCTGTAGTTTTAGCTACTCAGAAGGCTGAGGTAGGAGGATCTCCTGAGCCCAGGAGTCTGAGGTTTCAGTGAGCTATGATCATGCCACTGCACTCTAGCCTGGTTGACAGAGACCCTGTATCTAAGAAATAAAAAATGAAAAAGAACTATTACAGAGGGAAATAAGGATTAAAGCCCAATTGGAGTGGGTTGAATAGAGAGTAGGTTGTAGCAAATATAGATAAGTCTTTTGATGAATTTGGCTATAGAGGGGAGCAAAGAAAAGAACTAGCAGAAATAAGGATCATCTGGAAAAAAAATTGTTTTCTTTGCTTAAGGAAGGACACTATTAAGGAATATGACAGTGACCTAATAAAAATGTGATCCTTTGTCATGGGGTAGATCTAGTGGCATGGCCACACCTGGAATCTGAAGCAGGGAAGGGGAGGAACAGCAAATACTCATGGATGATAATGGAATTTATCATAGATTGTTTCTTAACATATTTACATTCACCAAATACATGTATACAAACACATACCATATGCTAGGTATTGTTCTAAGTGTTTTATATTTAATTCTTACAAGTGTATGAAGACAAATCTAAAGATATGGCAATTTAATATACAGTTACATATTTTAAGTTAAAAAAGACATCTATCTATTATTTTTTATTATTTTCCACTTTGGCCAGTCTTGTTCACATTAGGTCAGAGGATTTGTACTATACTAAACATATGCTTTTATACGCATAAAGTAACTCTTCAATGATTCATAAAAGCTGGTTGTCCCTGGGGTGTGGTTTCAAGTCTTGTTGAAATTTTTCTGTACTATATTAGTGTGCTTAACTGAGTAAATAATTTAACCTTTCTTTGGTGATTCAGTTTTTGCAGTGAGTCCATAACACTTTTTGACCATTTCTTCTTCAGCAATAAACAAAATATTAGCTTATGTTCTCACCATTTGTCTCATTTATATTAAAGTTAAATGCTAAATAAAAGTTCTGGTCATTTGGGGGGATTGTGGGAGTCTAAATAGTTAGATTTAAGATCATCAGAATTTACTATCTATGATATTTGCCAACATATATATGTCTACTTCAGAATTATTTGACATATAGTTAATTTTAAATCTTTAATTATATGGTATCTTTATAGTGTTTTCTGTCTCTGGCAGGAATTAAAAGGTGGAAAAGCTTATGCAAAGGTAAGCAGATGTTCTTTAACTGTGTTGGAAACTGAAGTGTTGCTTATTGCTATTTATAGGCTTAAAAATTAAATGGTTTACACTTCTAATATCTGTTCAAGCTTGGCTCTTTTTATATAAAGCAACTTGGAGATTGAACAGTTGGATCTAACAGTAAATTATAGGCGTATTATTTCTAAATGCTGATTATGGGATGTTATTCTTTAGATTCAGCCTCCCTGCTAGAGGATGAACTCTGGGTTACATTAAGTCATAGCACGTGATGATTCGAAGGGCCTCACCTTATGCTGTCTTAGCACTCTGTATAAACATGGTCAGTACTGCTGGTTTTTACTTGTACTAGCTATGTGGAATTACTGGTGAATGTGCTCACCATTTTGCTGACTGGAAGGAATTAGTAACAACACTACCAGAAACTCACATAGTCCTCTTTTATCTGCAGTCCCTGTGAATGGTGCCTCTGTCAGTCCAGTCACCTGAACCAAGAGATTGTACACTAGTCTTTATTTCCTAACTTTTTTAAGTTTGTTTTTTGTTTTTGTAGAGATGAGGTCTTGCTATATTACCCAGGCTGGTCTCAAACTCCTTGCCTCAAGTGATCCTCCTGCCTTGGCCTCCCAAAGTACGGGGATTACAGGGATGAACCACTATGCCTGGCCCCTGTACACTAGTTTTAACCTCCATATCTACCAAACACCCTAAATCTAATTGGTGGCAAGGTCAGGATGTTCTTTGTTGAAGTAATAGAAAACCTTCCTCAACTGGAGATTTTTTTTAATGTTACAGAACAAGGAGCTGTGAAATAGACTCATTCTAGAACTGGTTAATCCACTGACTGAAGAACATCATCAAGAACCCCTATTATTTTTCTCTTTCCATTCTGCTATTTTCTTTGTGATGACTTTGTTCCTGGCCCACTTCCCTCCCGGACACCAGGTGGCTGGCTGCTTAAGTTTAATTCAGCACATTCACATATGACAAAATTCAGCTACTTCCCACTGTATTACATTTTTTTGAGTGAGGAAACATTTCCTAAATGACCCTCAGAGGATTTCCCTGTACCTTTCATTGGCCAGAGCTGGATTAAACTAGTTGTAGGCAATAGGAATGGATTGTCATGGTTAGCTTAAACTAATCACAATCTAACAATGAGCTAAGGTTTGGGTTTCCTTTCTTGTGCACATGGATGAACTGAGACTGGACACCTAAATAAAACCAGAGTTTTGAGGCTGGGAATGGTGGCTTATGCCTGTAATCCCAGCACTTTGGAAGGCCAACGTGGGAGGATCACTTGAGCCTAGGCATTGGTGACCATCCTGGACAACATGGTGAGACCCTGTCTCAATCAATCAATCATTCAATAAATAATAAAATAAATCAAGGCTTCACTGTCAAGGAATAGCAGGGCATCGATTGTGGGCTCAGATAACAAGGTCTGCTGTAGTTGACCAAGCCTCTTGACTTTTCCCCTCTAAAAAGCTCTTGAAACCATACCTTCTCTGCATTCCCAAGGCCACTGCCTCAGGTGATGCCTTCATTATTTTTTATTTACAGCCTGCAGTGGTCTTCTATCTAGTCTCTCTGCCTCTATTATCTCCTCCATCCTCCATATTGTTGCCAAAGTAATCTTTCTAAAATTAAACCATGATCATAGCATTTCCCCACTTTTTGTCCTTTAGCAGCTATTCATTGCTTATAAAGGAAAAGGAACATTTTTTAACCTGGCAGGTAAGACACATCTTGTCATCTCTACTGTCATTTGCACGTGAACACACACACACACCACACACGTACACACACACATGCACACTCATATACTCATCCTTATACCTCACGCATACCGTCCTCATAAACTTCCTCAAGTAGCCCATGCTATGTTAGCCTTTTGCTTTGTAACTTGATGTTTTTTCCTGCCATGCCTTATATTTCTCCCTCCTCTTATCCTGTTGACTCATGTATCTCATTAAAGACTCATCTTAGTCATCCCTACCCCCTGAGAACTTTTCTTTTCCTCTCTTTCTTGTAACTGTGTCTTCCTCAATCACAGCACTTTCACACTGCATTGAGGAATTTGTTCACTTTTCTGTCCTCCTCTATTAAACTATAAGAGTAGGAATGACTTCCATGTCACCTGAAATGTAGATGCTGAAGATTATTTCATGAATGAATTAATATCTATGACAAACAGCTAATATTTATGTATATGTGCTATTTCATGAAACAGTTACTTAGTGAAACCAAAGAAAAAATCATAAGGAAACGTAGACTTTCTGGTTCTTCACTATAATGTAAGCTCTTTAAAGGCAGAGTAGGTGTCCTGTTAATCACTGTTACCTAGTGTCTACAGCTGGGCCTGTCATATAAAAGATGCTTGGTAATATTGACCTCACTCATTAGTAACTTTCAGCCTAAAACATCACGTTGACATGCCTCACATTTTAGTATATTTTCTAAATAGGGGCTGTCTTAATTTGGGATGCTATAGCAAATTACCATAGAGTAGGTGATTTAAACATTTATTTCTCACAGTTCTGGAGGCTGGGAAGTCCAGGAAAAGGTGCTGGTGGATCCAGTCTGGTAAGGGCCTGCTTTCTGCTTTGCAGACGGCTGTCATCTCATGGTGTCCTCAAATGGCAGAGAGCAGAGAAAAGGAACCAAGCTCTCATATGTCTTTTAAAAGAGCATTTATTCATTCTTGAGGACTTCACTCTCATGTCCTAATTATCCGCTAGAGGTCCTGCCACCTAATACCACCCTTTTAGGGGTTAGGATTTCAACATATGAATTTTGGGGGAACATAAACATGCAGTCATAAGAGGCACTGATCAGATTCTCCCCTTTTTAACTTATTGACATTGTAATATATCAGCATTACAACAGTAGATGGGCTATTCTTTTATTCAACAAATATGTGTTAAGGGCAGGAATTGTTCCTGGTACTATTCTAAGTACTGGAGATAGAGCAGTGAACCAGAGAGACAAAACCCTCTGCATTTGTGGAGCTTACATACTAATGGGAGTGGGGGTTGTTGGAGGGACAAACAATAAGCAAATATGAAATATATGTGCACATGATGTGATAACTACTAAGGAGAAAAATAGAGCAGGTAAGGGGTGGAAGGCGGTAACTACAGGATGAGGGACGGAAGAGGGATGTGATAGAGGATGGCCAGGGAAGGCCCCTTTAGAGAGATGACTTTTGAACATTGACCTGAATGGAGTAAAAGAGAAAGCTATAAGAAAATCTAAGAGACAGCATTTCCAGCAAAAGAGCAGTAAGTGCAGAAGGCCTTGAAGTGATCTTGGCATTTTCAAGAAACAGGACAGTGTGGCTGCCAGAGTAAATGAGGAGAAGGAGGAAATGAAGCTGGCCAGATAGCCAGGGACAGGAGACAGAGGAATAGGAGACCACATAGAAAACCCTTTCAAGAGGAATGAGATCATGTCCTTTCAGGGACATGGATGGAGCTGGAATCCATTCTCCTCAGCAAACTAATGCAAGAACAAAAACCAAACACGGCATGTTCTCACTTATACGTGGGAGCTGAACAATGTGATAACATGAACTCAGGGAGGGGATCAGCACACACCTGGGCCTGTCAGGAGGGGACGTAGGGAACAAGAGCATCAGGAAAAATAGCTAATGCATGCTGGGCTTAATACCTAGGTGATGGGTTGATAGGTGCAGTAAGTCATGGCACACATTTACCTATGTGACAAACCTGCACATCCCGCACATGTAACTCTGAACTTAAATTTTAAAAAAAACCAAAAAACTCTTTTAAGAAGTTTTGCTGTAAAGAGGGCCAGAAAAATGGTTCAATAGCCTGGAGAGAGATATAGGGTAAGGGTTTTGTTTTGTTTTCTTTGGTTCATTAAAGTAGGAGAAAATCCAGCATGTTTATGTGCTGTGGGGAATGATCCAGTAAAGAAGGGAAATTTTGGAATGTACAAGAGCTGAAAGAATAACTGAAGTGATTAACTTGGGTGGGCAAGAGGAGAGCCGTTGGCCTCCAACAGTACTGTAAGTGGGAAAGCAAATATGTGGGCACAGATGCGGGTAGGTGAGAAGATGTCACTGGCCATAAAAGCTTATGGAAGTTAAGTGCTCTTTTAATTGCTTTTATTTTCCAAGGTCATCAGCAGAGAGTGAGGATTAGAAAGCAGTGTTGGAGGGTCAAAGAGAAGGATAAGTATGAAACAGGGTGCACTGATAATGTGTGATCTGTCATGTGAGTCTTCACATGCTCAGTTGGATATGGTTCTATCCTGGACATATCCCGGCTTTTTCTGCTGATCTTTTTCCCCTCGAAGAGAGGCAATAAGGCTAGAGTAACTATGTGAAAATTAGGTGGATGTTACTGTTGCTTGATGTTTGTCTGACTTATTGCATTTGGGGCTTGTGGCCCTTCAACTGCTGTGTTCTTAGTCTTCATTCTTTTTGTACCAATTAAAAGCTATTAAAATAATGCCCCAGCCTGCAATTAAAAACTTCATCTCGAATGCCATTTATATGTGCATTTATATGTGTTTTAAAACCTTAAACAACTTAGAATCACAGCAGTTTTTGAAATGTATAATACTTTTTATTATATATTTATGGAAATATGCTTAATAAATCGTAAGCTCCATCCATTTTTTGTTGTTAATTTAAGAAACTGTATATACACTTAGGCATATAGACTCAGCTTGCTCAAAAAATGATAATCGGGTTAATTTGTTGTACTGCTTGGAAATGAGAAACAGGGTTGAACAACATCAGAGGAAAGACTATAGGGCAACCTTCGGCAGGTGCAGAAAATGGAAACTGAACCTGAGCAGTAATAACAAGGAGTAATAGGTCTGAGCTGAACTTCTGCACAGCAGCAGAGAGGGTTGATGTGGGCAGAGCTCTGAGAAAGGGAAGAATTAGGTTTCATGAAGAGAGATTCAGTTCAAGGATGATCAGCAAAGCAAATGTGGAGGGTAGTGAAAGAGAAGGCACTGGTACCAAAGAAAATAAGTGATTCACTGAAGTCACTCTAGTTCTTGCATGGGGAGTGAAAACTTAATAACTGCAACTGTCTGTCTTTACCAGTGGTTAACCTGGCATAGAGCCAGACCCAGAATAGAGAGAGAGTCTGATCATTCTTCTCTATGTGTATGCCGGTTATCACAATTGCTTTGCTAGTATTTCTCCCAGGTGTGAATACCACTGCTACTTGCAATGATTTTAGCTGTTTGATATACATTATTTTTACTTTAACAGTAATATACATTTTATAATGTATATAGAAAAAATATAGTTTCCACATCAAATCTGATTTCAAAGATTCTGTTGCTAAAGGCAAGAATAGAATAGGTAATAAATTCATATAAAAGGTGAACCAATTTTAAAACACAAAGCAAATAATAGAACAGGTATAAAGATGTCAAAAATTGCAAATAAATGAAGTTGGAGAAAACCTGTCTAGGTTATGGGTTGAATGTTTATTTTAAGGAGCATATGATAGAAGCCTACCAGAGAGTCTATTAATATAATTCTCTTTCTTTTCATAGCTGGGCTTTGCAGATCTAAACCTGGCAGAGTTTGCTGGATCAGGAAATACCACTCGCCGCTGTTTACTGGAAGGCTATGATACCAAAAATACAAGACAGGATAATTCCATTCTTAAAGTAAGCGCGTTTCAGGATTTACTTGTCAAGAAATACACTTATCTGCCTTAAATAAGCATATGTGTATATTGTTAAGTACAAGGTGTGAATCAATACTGATATCACAAACTGACCACACTACTGAAGTATTCATCACCTAGGGAAAAACTCCATCTAAATCACAAAAGCAGGGAAAAGTAAACAGATGTTCACCTTCATTGTCCTAAGGTGTTTTTCCTTGATGTTTTGAACATTCAGGGAATACATATACCACTACAACATAAGAGCTTATTGGGAAGAAGGAACATGATGAATTAATGAATACCTTAAAATATTTATAGCTCCCATAAGGTGATCAACGGAGTAGTTGTGATAGGTACATAAAAACCACTGGTTTCTCTTGTAGTGAAGTGACACATGGAACCCACCTCTGGGCATCTGCCTGGCTTTTTCCAAGTACCATCAGGAGCCATGTACTCTAGTAATGAGAGCGAATATATACTTCATAGAGTTAATTATAGTATTAGATTAGTTGTGAAAATATTTGTAAAGCACTTTGTACCCAGGAAACCCCACTGGATAAACCTTTTGCAGTGTTTCAGTTAGGTTACTCCATGATGGTAAGTTATCTAATAAGAAAGGAAAATAATTCTGAATAAAAACTGGATGTTCAAAAGTTAGTGAAGAAAAGAATTACCTTATACCCCACAGTTTTCAAACTTCATTTGCAGCAAATCTTAAGCTCTGAACATATGAAAATGTATAAAGTGGTTAATATACATACAGTCCCATGCATAAAGTGGTTTTTGTAGCCCTCACACAAATTTAGCGCAGGAAAGAAAGGTGGGACAGTGAGTTGATATGGGAAGGAAAATGGTGAAAGAAGACAGGGAAGAAATTAGAAAAGTATCATAGTATAAACTTCTGTACACATCATGTTGATTGTAGAGTTTTGTGGTTTTATAATTCTAAAAAGTTTTCAAAGCACTTGCCCATATCTCCACGAGATGAACAGGGTTAGATAGATGGGGATAGATTGTTATTCACATTTTATAGATGAAGAGCGGAGACTAAAGTATGTCACAAAAGTAGTCAGTGGCAGAGCTGGGACCACTGTGCATATCTTCTGCCTGGTCAGTGGTCTTGTTTCCTCATATTTCTTTTTTTTTGAGACAGAGTTTAGCTCTTGTTACCCAGGCTGGAGTGCAAAGGCGCGATCTCAGCTCACCGCAACCTCCACCTCCTGGGTTCGGGCAATTCTCCTGCCTCAGCCTCCTGAGCAGCTGGAATTACAGGCACGTGCCATCATGCCCAGCTAATTTTTTTTTTTTTTTTTTGTATTTTTAGTAGAGACAGGGTTTCACCATGTTGACCAGGATGGTCTCGATCTCTTGACCTCATGATCCACCCGCCTCGGCCTCCCAAAGTGCTGGGATTACAGGCTTGAGCCACCGCGCCTGGCTGTTTCCTCATATTTCTTATATAAAATATGGATAATTCTTCTCTGAATGACAGTGTTTTCATTGGAAATTGAAATAACTTTTTGATTTCAGACCCTTACATTTCTAAGAGCCAACTTATGGAGTAGTTTCCTTCTGGCTTCCCATTCATTCTTCCACACCGTCACTCCCACTTTGTCCTACAAAAAAACATACTCTTTTGAAGGTCACACCATTCAGTCATAACTCTCTCTCGCTTCCTAATCTCTGCCATCTCCTGACCCTTAGGTACCTTCTCTCTCCTGTCCATTGATGCCCTATCTCCTGACTCAGGCTCACAGTTTTTCTCTGTATTCATCATCATTTTTCGGTGGTTTTATCATCTGTGCAGGCGAGCTGGCCTTGTAGACTATCTTATTTATATTTTCTCTCCTGATAGCTGATCTTCTACAAGCCTAAAGTTTCTCAGTTCCTTAAACTCCCTATCTCCAGCAACATTTTCCTTCTCCTTATCTCAGTTCCTGCTTCCATGGTCACACTCTAGCGTCTAGACCTTTTTACCCCTAGAAACTTCACCCCTTCCAAAATTTCAATTTAAAATTTTCTTCCTCCTACCACTATCTCTTATGTTTCAGTCCTCTTAGTCTCCTACTCACTTAGCTGAGTTTAACCTTCCACTTTCCCACTATCCATCAGCCCTGACTTGCTTCCACTTCCCTCTTTATCCAGCTTAAATTTCATGGTCCTTGAGGCCTGGAGTTCAAGACCAGTCTGGGCAACATAGTAAGAACCTCATCTCATACATACATACATACATACAAACAAACATACATACATACATACATACATACATACTCCTGGCTCCTCTGTCCCTGTCTCCCTGCATTGAGGGATAATGCATAATCTGAATAATCTCCAACTTTTGTTGAACTCAGCTATTAAACATCTACCCTTGCATGCTAAGCATTGCTGAAGAAAATCACACAACCAGACTAGATGGTGTTACTGAAGCCGTGCTCACTGCCATCTGGCAATCATACTCTACTTCCTTCTTAAGCTTCCTTTCTCAATTTTAGATATTCTGTCTCATACCTTTTTTCTCCTCATATCTCAACACACTATTCTTGCTCTAAGATACTGGCCTTGCCTTATCCTACTGAGAAAACAGAAGCCATTAAACTCAGATTTCCTCATCCTCCCATCACAGAATTTACCTGCCTCTCCAGGCTTATCCTTTTTGTCCCCTGTTAAAATGGATGGCATGTCCCCTTTCCTGAGAGAAGTCAGTCTTTCCTCTTGGCTTCTGGAATCCAAAGCTTGCCTAACCAAGAGCTTTGCCCCTTGGATTATCTCCTCTTATCATCATCTCTACCTCAAATGAACCATCCTCATCAACATATAAAGAAACAGCTCCACTATCTCCCATATTTATATATTTTAAAAAAGACAAAAATCAACTTCTCATCTTCTCCAACTACTGCCCCACATCTCTGTTCTGCTTCACCGTTCAGTTCCTTAAAAGCTGTATGTGCCATCTCCATCTCTTTTTGAGACATCCCATGATACTCAAGAGTACAGTTTTGATGGAGTTGGAAAGCAGACCTCAGGGTTCTATGAAAGAAGAAATGATGAGGAAATTGGTGCAGCAGGATAGATTTGGCATTTAAAGAGAAAAAGAAAAATCATGGAGGTCCCGGGGTGAGGAGATAGGAGTGAAATAAGGTTATATAAGATACATGTCAGCCATTAGCTGAAGAACATACAACAATATACATATCCTTTTATTCATTAAGACTAAGAATTTTGGTATATGCAACCTTGGGTTCACATCTCAGCTCTGCCCTTTACTAGTTGTCTAGTTTTTAAAATATCACTTAATCACCCTGAAGTTAAAATTAAAATATTGCTCTCTCATAGGAATATTGAAAATTAAAGGAAATAATGCATATTAAACACTTAGCTTATGCCTGGCACATAATGAATTCTCAAATCATGATTGTTAATGTTGTTGCTATTACCATTATCATTATTATTCCCATAGAACATAAAGAGGTCCTATGACTGACTGTTAAAGGTAGTCAGAAACTAGAGAATAGCAGCATCTCAGAAAGTATTAGAAAAGCCTTAAATCTGGGCTGGGCACAGAGCGGCTCACACCTATAATGCTAGCACTTTGGGAGGCCAAGGCGGTAGGATCACTTGAGGCCAAGAGTTGCAAGATCAGCATGGGCAACATAAGCAAGACCCCATCTCTACAAAAAAAAAAAAAAAAAAAAAAAAAAAAAAAAAAAAAAAAAGACAGAACAGAATTATCCAGGCATGGCATGTACCTATAGTCCCAGCTACTCCAAGGCTGAGACAGGAGGATCATGAGCCCAGGAGTTCAAGACTGCAGTGAGCTGTGATAGCACCACTGTACCTCAGGGTGACAGAGCAAGACCTTATCTCCAGATTTTTTTTTTTTAAGAGCTTTAAATTCTGATCTAAAGCTGGGACAAAGGCCAGAAGCTTTCTACTCTTAGAACCCACCAGCCAGCATCCTTTGAAGCATCAACCTGGCAACTTGAAGGAAAACATTTACCAGACACTTAGGCATCATAGGAATTTGGGAGTAAAGACAAATAGATTAGCACAGCCACACAGCCACAGGATTATTACTGGTGAATTATTATTACTGTTTTTTTCCTATCATTTCCATTCTGATTTTTGCAATTTTGAGGTTTTTGAGTGTTAAAAATGATTTTAATCTATATGAAGCAGTAATTTAATATTGAATATAGCCCAGTTTTTTTTTATAGTGAGAGAGTCTTGCTCTGTTGCCCAGGTGGGAGTGCAGTGGTATAATCACAGCTCGCTATAACCTCAAACTCCTGGGCTCAAGCAGTCCTCCTACCTTAGCCTCTCATGGATATAACCCAATTCAACAATCATTTTATTCAGTGCTTTCCCAATAGAAAATATTGGACTAGGTGCTGTGGAGGAAGCATTTTATAATTTTTTATAATCATGGTATTTCTTTTTTTATGTTTAGGTTTTGATCAGTATGCAACTGATGTCTGGTGATCCATGTTTTAAAACGTAAGTTGATGCCCAGTAAGTGGATTATGTATCTAAAAGTATAAGAAAGATTTGTTTATATGTTTACATTAATATTTTATAGTGTTTATAGGAAAATACCAGTAAAGGGATAGTTTTTTCCCTGGGAGACTGACCTGACACTCTTAGAAGTTATTTCTACCTGTTACCAAATGAGTTCTCCACACTCTAAATTATTCATGCTATAGGTCTTTTGTCATCTTCAGGTTTTGGGTAAAATTATACAAACAAAAAGTTTTAATACAGCTTCTGTGAACATATTTATTTCTTCAATAAATACCTATTAAGTGCCTTAAAATGTGTTAGGCTGTATTTTAGATACTAGAGAAATAGCAGTGAACAAAATAGATTAAGTCCCTGCTGTCTTGGAGCTTATATTCTAAGATAAAAATGGACAATAAGCTAATAAGCAAATATGTAATATACACATGGTCATAGCACTTTGGAGAAAAAGGGTGGAAGGGCCATAGTAAAGAGAAGTAGCTATTTTCTATCTAGTAGTCAGGGGAGGCCCTGCGGTAAAGATGGTATTTGAGTAGAGACCTGAAGGAGGTGGGAAGCAAGTCACATTGGCATTAGGGGAAAGAGTGTTTGAGGTAGACAGAGAAAACAAGGACAAAGGCCTTGAGAGAGAAGTGTTCTTGGCAAGTTCAAGTAACTGGCTGGAGAGCAGCATGTCTAGAGCAGAATGAATGAAGAGGCGGGTAATAGGAGATGAGGTCAGATGATAAGGAGTCTTGTGGCCATTATAAAAAGGACTGCCATTCACACTGAATGAGATAGAAAAGCTAGTGGAGGTCTTGAGCCGAGGAGTAAAATTATCTGACTTGTGGCTGCTAGTTAGGGAAGAGACAATTTGTAGGAGTAACAAAAGGGACAGGGACATAAGTAGAGAAGGCTGTTTCAGTGATCTAAGGTTTTGAGCCTGAGTAACTGGAAGAATGACACTTTCATATGTTGAGATAAGAAAGATGACTACAGGAACAAGTTGGGAGCTTGGATGTTAGACATGTTAAATTTGAGATCCCTATTTAACATCCCTCGGGGCATGTCAAGTAGGCAGTTGTATAGATCAACTAGAGTTCAGTGGGGAGATGTGGGCAGGAGATAGAAGTTTGGAAATTATTACATCATCAGCATACAGGTAGTAATTAAAGCCATGAGACTGGAATATATGACTAGAGGGAATGAGTAGAAACGGAAAAGGACCAGAGTCTGAGGTGGGGACAGCCCAACATGTTAAGAGGTTGAGGAGATCAGGAAGTAGAATCAGCAAAGGAACCTCCAGTGTAATCGGAGGAGGAAAGCAGAGTCCTGTCCTGAAAACCAAGTGAAGAAACAGCCTCAGAAAGGCAGGAATACGCACCTGCATCACGCGCTGCTGGAGTGGGTCTCAGAAGATAAGGACTGAGGACCTACCCTTGGAATCTGCAGTATAGAGACTGTTGGTGACTTTGGCAGGCACTTGGGTAGAAAGCCCTTAGACTAAAGCCTTTTAAGAATGGGTTAAAGGGAGTTTGGGAGGAGAAAAATTGGAGACAGTGAGTATAAACAATTCTAATGAGGAGTTCTACTGTAAAAAAGGAACAGAAAGATGGGGTCAACAATAGAGGATTTGGAGTTGGGCAGGTTTCGTTAATTTTTAAGATGGAAGATAGTACAGCACGTTTGAGTACTAATGGGATTGGCTCAACAAGAAACTGATAATCCAGAAAAGGGATTGTTGCTAAAACAGTGCCCTTGGATTGTCAGGAGGGAGGAAGGCAGAGAACATGGCTACTAACACAGGTAGAGGAGAAATGGAAGCATACAGAAGTTCTTTTCTAATTGCTTTTGATTTCTTAGTGAAATAGAAAACAAGATGATCATTGAAAAGCAAGGACAGGGAAGACAGAGAAAGGGGTTTGAAGAAAGGAAAAGGTGTGCAGAAGTCCTCACAGGGAGTGTGAGCATGAACAAAATGGGAAAATGCAGGATTGCCTCTCAGCAGCCTTGAGGACACTTAATGATTAAAAATGAAGGTTCATTGATACATTGAAATATCTAAGAACAATACACAGAGAAAACTAAAGAAAACATTACCTCCCTGTATATCAACTTCATGTTTTTAATAGCTGTAACTTAGAAAGCAGCATCTGGCCGGGCCTGGTGGCTCACACCTGTAATCCCAGCACTTTGAGAGGCCGAAGCTGAAGGATCACTTGAGGCCAGGAGTTCAAGACCAGCCTGGGCATCATGGTGAAACCCCATCTCTACAAAAAATACAAAAATCAGCCTGTGGTCCCAGCTACTTCGGAGGCTGAGGGGAGGATTGCTTGAGCCTGGGAAGTGAAGGTTGCAGTGAGCCGAGATTGTACCACTACACTCCAGCCAGGGTGACAGAGCAAGACCCTGTCTCAGGAAAAAAAAAAAAGGCAGCATCTATATCATTTTATACTTACATACTATTTTATAAAGATACAGGTATATATATTTCAATATGAATCAATTCTTGATTAAAACCACACATCTTCCAATAACTTAGCCTTCCTGTGCTGTCTTCTCATAAACTATAGTTTCCTGATTCCTTTATTTTCTGCTTTCTTGGGACTAAAACAATTTTGCTATAGCATTTTTGGTGTCTTGGGCAATAATTTGTTTTTGTAGTGGAATAAGATTTAGGGTAAAATAAGAAAATGAGGAGCAAAACTTAGTAGAAGAAAATGAATTGATCATTCCTTCTCCTGAACTTATTATGGATATTCCCTTTCTGGCCCTTTCTTTGCCCATTTCCTCTCTCTAGTTAAGGAACTCACAATGAAGAGCTTGAAAATAGATCATCTAATGTTTCATATTATCTCCATAAATTTAATTCTGACAATCTGGAGTTTACAGAGAAAGACTTTTGTAATTCATAAAAATAAGCAGACATTACTTAATTCCAAATACATAAAAGTATTTTTCGAGAGAATCAAATCCTCAATAGTTTTCTTTTCTCTTTGAAATTGTTCAAATGTCATTGAGAAGTGGGAAATTCTAACACATTCATACACTTGCACATACTGAATATGTACTGAATAGAAAAACATTTTAACTACTGATTTTAAAAGTAAATTAGTTTTATCAGGTTATATTTAAATATACATCAACTATGTAAAATCACATTACTTTAGAGCTGAAAAGAATGTTGGAAGTTGTCTAATCCAGTGATTTTTTTTTTCAGAATATTTAACTACAAAATCCTTTGCTCAAATATATTATGAGGCCAGACATAGTGGCTTACACCTGTAATCCCACATTTTGGGAGGCTAAGGCAAGTGGATCCCTTGAGCCCAGGAGTTCACAACCAGCCTGGGCAACATGGTGAAATCCTGTCTCTACCAAAAAATAAATTAAAAAATTAGCCAGGCATGGTGGTACACCTGTAGTCTCAGCTACTCAGGAGTCTGAGGTGGGAGGATCACTTGAGCCCAGGAAGCAGAGGTTGCAGTGAGCCAAGATCATGCCACTGTACTCCAGGCTGGGTGACAGAGCAAGACCTGTCTCAAAAAATAAAACAAGTATATTATGAATCCTAGGATATAAAATTTTACTCTATCTCCTCTCCAACTTAGGTAAGATAAGAATAAATTTTCTGTTGAGCACTCTCCCCTACCTACTTCCAGAAGTCCCTAAAGGAGATCAGGAAACCAGTTTTAAAAGTGTTGATGTAATCCAAGTTATCATTGTACAGATGAGGAAACCAAGGCACAAAGCAATCGAGTGACTTTACTGGGTACCTCTGTGTAGAACAAAGATGTAAATAACTGCTGGAGGGCTGCATTCCACTATTCTCTGCTTTTGTCTATCTTTAAATTTTTCGTGATATAATTTTTTTAAATTTACTTGAGAAACAAGAGTACAGCACATCCTTAGTCTCAAATTTACATCCTAGTTTTAATACTTTCTGAGCAGAAGATCTGTGACACAGATTGTATAATTCTTCTGAAGCACCAATTTTATACTATAAGGCCAGAATTTATAAAGAAGATAGCTGGTAAATCAGCCTACCTACCTACCCTAAACTTCATTTCATAGTTCTCTACAATTCATCATATACCCACCAACTCTTGTAAAAGAGTGAAACTCACTCTGAAAAGTGCTAATAAAGAAAAAAGATATTTTGAGAGAGAAATGGTATATTCTGCTGGCATTTGGGAATCTGATGGCAAAGCAGATCTAGGAATGATATAAATCACTTGAATATAGCAAGGTTCTGACACGGTTATATTCCAAAAGGAAGAAAATTGTCATTTGTAAACATGATTTCATGAATGTTACTGTCTCTCAATTCTTAAAATAACTGTAATATAAATATTATCCATAGTTTTGAATGAGGTCATTGAGACTAAGAGGTTAAGGGATTAATTCATGCAGGGTCCCAGGGTGCAGTCATTCATTCAGTGCATGTGTATTGATTGCCTGCCATGTGCCAACACTTAAGCTAGAAAAGACCAGCCCCTGCTCCGAAGGGATTGACTGTTTATGTGGGAGACAGGCACACTGCATATAATGTCACTGGGGCACAGATAGGATCCCTAGCCACAGTTCCTTGAAAGCCAGAAAAATCTTCACTGAGAAGGGGACACTGAGCTAAGTTGAAGGGATGACTAGAATTTACCAAGCACAGGAGGTAGGTAGGAACACCTCAAGAGAGAAAACAGTTTTCACAAGTTTATGGTGTTGTTACAGGGCATTCAGTATTTAAGGAATGTCAAGTAGGTAATATTGTCCTTTTATGAGGTCATTTTTCACATATTCTTAACATTACTATAAATTAAAGCAATCAAATTAAAGTAATCCCATCTCTTATTCTATATTTGATCTACATTAAGTGATTTCAGGTGAGGGATGTAAAAGCATTTTCAGAACAAAAGGTAAAGGAACAAAAACTGGCACATGGCAAGCACTCAGTGATTATTTATTCAACAAGGCTGAGTTATCCAGGGAGATAAGAGAGCTGCCAAGGCCCAGCTGGGATTTTGGATTTAAATTTGCTTTACTATTAGTCCCCGTAGTCAAAGAATTTTCTCCATAATGCTTAGTTGCCCCAGTAATAGAGCAGTTAGTACAGATGACTGATATTATCAAGGGTTGTGGTTCTTCAGCTTTTTTGAACAGCAGAAAAAGAGGTGCCAAATTGAAGGTGCAGCTTAAAGAGTTGTAGCTGTGGGGTCAGGCTGGACAGGGGAGAATAAAGCAAGAGGAGGATAGAAAGGGAAGGGGCCAATGTTTGGGAGTTCTGAGGTTGGAAAAACAGGTCTAAGAGGTAGAGGAAATAGAGACGCTGTAATCAGGCCACCTGTGAAAGAAACTGGCATTAAAAAGGTCAGAATTTTTAGACATGCAGGCATGAGTCAACCATCAGTGATTAATGACTATGACTATAGACTCCATTCTTTGTGTTTCTTCTGTATATTAGTTTTTCCCATGAAATATTGAATGCAGGGTTGGTTTGGTTTTTTTTTTCCACCAAGCTATTTTACATTATTTGAAAATACAGGCCAGGCACAGTGGCTCACGCCTGTAATCCCAGCATTTTGGAAGGCCAAGGTGGGCGGATCACCTGAGGCCAGGAGTCCGAGACCAGCCTAACCAGCATGGCAAAACCCCTTCTCGACCAAAAATACAAAAATTAGCTGGGTGTGGTGTTGGGTGCCGGTAATCCCAGCTACTCGGGAGGCTGAGGCAGGAGAATCACTTGAACCTGGGAGGTGGAGGCTGCAATGAGCCGAGATCATGCCATTGCACCCCAGCCGGGGAAACAACAGCAAAACTGTCTCACAAAAAGAAAATACAGTTGGTAATTGAAGAGGTAGGTCTAAGCCAGACTGCGACTTTTAAGATTTGAGCTTTATGCCAAAGGAGCTGTGGAAGGGTTTTAAATAAGAGTAACATGTTCAAAGGCACGTTTCAGAAAGACCACAGTGACAGAAGCATGAAGTAGAGGTTGGCAGACCAGCAAGGAGATCCTCGCAGTCGGCCAGGAGAAAGGTACAAAGGCCAAAACTCAAGTAACGGATGGAGATGGAGAAGAGATGATGAATAGGAAAAATACTAAAAGAGGATCTGGGATTCGGAAGTTGATTGGATGTAGAAAAATGTTATTAGGAAGGAGGCAGAGGTGATACCCAGAATTTTAGTTTTCGTGACTTTGTGGGTTGTGATGACATTTACAGAGAGAATACAGGAAGAAAACAGGTTTTGGGAAAGACAAATTTAGTTGGGGATATATTGAGTTTCCTGTACTTATAGGACAAATACTTGAAAATGTCTCAATAGGATATGTAAGTCTAGAATTTAGAAGATCTAGGCTGGAAACAGTCAATAAATGCAATAGATTTCATAGCAACTTTAAATGTCTCTGTCCTCAAGAATCTGACTAGCCTGAGGACTACCTTAAGATAACAGGGTAAGAATTAAAGAATTGCCATAAAGCAGGTCAGCTTCATGATTCCTTCAGCCACCTCCCTATTTTATCTCAAGTTACCAAGGGTTAGTTTCTAGGAAGATGTGGTTTTCCTCTGCAATATCAGCCTCAAAACGTTGGCTTACACCTGTAATCCCAGCACTTCGGGAAGTGAAGGTGGAGGATCACTTGAGGCCAGGAATTAGAGACCAGTCTGGGCCACATAATGAGACCCTGTCTCTACAAAAAAAAAAAAAAAAAAAAAAATTTTAAAGGTTAGCGATGTTTTCTAATAAAAATCCCTGTGTTGAAAACACAACAGGATGACTACAACCAACAATAATTTATTGTACATTTAAAAATAACTGAAAGAGGCTGGGTCCTGTGACTCACGTTTATGATCCCAGCACTTTGAGAGGCTGAGGTAGATGGATTGCTTGAACCCAGGAGTTCGAGACCAGCCTGGAAAACATAAGGAAGCCCCCACCAATCTCTACAAAAAAAAAAAATTTAAGTCTCCATTAAATGTCAGAAAGAGCCAGGCATGGTTCTGTGTTCCTGTAGTCCCTGCTACATGGGGGCTAAGGTGGAAGGATTGCTTGAGTTGGAGAGGTGGAGGCTGCAGTGAGCCATGATTGTACCACTCCACTCCAGCCTGGGTGACAAAGCCAGACCCTATCTCAAAATAAGTAAAAAATAAAAGAGTATAATTGGACTGTTTGTAAGAAAGGATAAATGCTTGAGGATACCCCATTTACCCTGATGTGATTATTATGCATAGCATGCCTGTATCAAAATATCTTATGTACCCCATAAATATATACACCTACAAAAATTTAAATTTTTTTTTAAATTTAAAGAAAAACTGTTAGAACTTAAACTTGTCCCTCCTTGCTTCACAGCTTCCACTTGAAATAGGAGCTTTGAATTAACCAATGAATAGATTCATTACTATTCCCAGAGAATTCAATTCAAAAAGCAAATCTAAACAACTGGGCCTCTCTGTAGACTCTCCCTGGGCAGGTGAACTGTTTACAGAGATGAAGGTAGAAGGTAAAACCATGGATAGCCTATTTAAGAAGTGAATGGAGCCAGCCAGGGAGCACAGGCTCTGAACCAGAGGAACGAGACATTCTCCTCCCAGCTTGATTCAAAGGGGCTTGGCGCCGAGTTACCGTCTTGAGTTGATAGTTGGAACAACCATCCCTTGAACCTTGCTGGGTTCACACTGACAGAGGCCTCTGGTTTTAGGACTCTATGGAGACTGCCCTCTTCTTGTTATGTAAAAAAAAAAAAAAAAAAAAAAACACACACACAAAACTTTGTATGAATTTTATTCAAATTGTTGAAAAGACGCTTATACATTATTTGCTGATTTTTATTACTTTCACCCTCAAAGGAGTAATATTACCAAGCAGTTTATGCTGAGGCTTACTAAGCTCACCAATCAATAACAGTATTTTGAACTTTGAGGCTCCCCCACAACTCAAGTTCGTAAATGTTTATTTACAGGCCTCCCTCCACATCAATGTCTATACCAATTGCTGGTGAATCTGAATCTTTGCAAGAAGATAGAAAAGGTGGAGAGACTCTCAAAGTGCATCTTGGAATAGCAGGTATGGATGTATGGCTTACTGGTTTTTAATTTGTACGAGACTACTTGACGCCCTAAAAGATTCCCAAAACCCTTCCAGATTTAAAATGGTATGGGTATTTGACTTGAAACAGGTCAATAGGAATCAGTTTTAATTATGTAATTATTGGTTGATCCAGTGCTTTATTTTGTCTAAAGTATTGTGCTCTAACAAATTAAAAACTAGCTGTTACAGTGGCACTCCTCTCACTGTATGCATGTACTCCCCAAAAGTACAACAGAATAGTACAGGATTTTCTCATTTTTCCCTTTCCATTACCCAGCAACTTCTGCAAAGCAACGTCCGCCTCTCAGGTGTTGCTCCTCTTCCGTGAATCGCTTTCCCTCTGTCAGTAGTTCTCAAGCCCTAGCGTGCATTAGAGTCACCTGGAGGGCTTGTGAAAACAGGTTGGCCGCCGGTCTCGGCCTTCCAAAATGCTGGTTGCAGCAGCCAGAGTGTTTGATTCAATAAATCTGGGTTAGAGCCTGAAGTTTTGTATTATTAAGGCATTCCCACAAGACACGGATGCTGCTAGTCCCTGACCACACCTTGAGATCCACTTTTCCAGGCACACTGCTGGCTGCAGTCAGAATCTGCCCCAGAAGTAAAAGCTCAGTGGGGAAAATGTCAAGGTAGCAGGAGGAAAAGAACTTAGGAGCTTTCTTCTGTCTTCAGTATTATGTGAACAGGATGTATTGTTTGAAAGAAGGGAAAGAAAGGTGAAGTGATGTAATTAACCCTTTCACCACCTTTTAAAATATGCAAGTATATGATTTCTTATAAGTAATGGTGACTCTGAAATTTCTCGTTTTGCGATCAGTGAATCTTTTGGGAACTTGTAACCATTCCATTAGCTCCTTCTCTTCAGTATGTAAATATTCTGAATTTTTTCTCATATTGAAAAAAGGAAAACAAAAACTTTTTAGCCCTACATCTTTCTCTATCTACTACTCTCCCTTAGGCTCCAGCAGGCTGGCACATGTGCTCATGTGCTCTCTGTCTTTCCCCACTCTGCCCCAAATATATAGAGACATCTCTCTCTCTCTCTCTCTCTATCCCCTCTCTCTCTCTCTCTCTCTCTCTGTGTGTGTGTGTGTGTGTGTGTGTGTGTGTGTGTGTGTGTTTGTAGAGGGAGAGAGAAAGAGATCAGCCAGAGATGATATATGCACCATACACTTTTTATAGCCCCACTTCTAGAAAGAATATACTTTCCATTTATTCTTAAACATATTAGCAATCTGGCTTCCATCATCTGCCCTCTCTTGATGCTGTCTCCGGGTACATAGTTGTCAAATGGTGTGAACATTTTTTCTGGTCTCACCTGATGGCCATTTATTCTTTCTTGATGCTTTCTCTTCCCTTGGCTCCTACCTCTCTAACCTTTCCGTTTTTAGCTTCTTAGAGGCTTCTTTATCTTCCTCCACCTTCTCCTTACCTGTTGATGTTCCACAGGGTTTGGTCCCCTCACTTCCTTGAGCAGTGCCATCTATACCCTTGGCTTTATCTATCACATAAATGTAAACGTGATGTAAATGTGATTAAATGCTTTGGGGGAAGCATTCTTACTAAATGTTATACTGAAATCCATCTGTTTATCTTTCTCCCCAGAGAGACTCTTAAGTTTTTCGTAGTTAGCTCTTATTTGTCTCTGTATCCCCAGCAGAAGGCCCAGGACACAGTGAACATTGAGTGACTGTTGAATAGGCATCCTCAGGTGTCTCTAATTCCATTTATCTAGGACAAGTCTTCCTACCTCTTCCTCCGGTCTTTTTTTTTTTTTTTTTTTTTTTTTTTTGAGACGGAGTTTCGCTCTTGTTACCCAGGCTGGAGTGCAGTGGCGCAATCTCGGCTCACCGCAACCTCCGCCTCCTGGGTTCAGGCAATTCTCCTGCCTCAGCCTCCTGAGTAGCTGGGATTACAGGCATGCGCCACCATGCCCAGCTAATTTTTGTATTTTTAGTAGAGACGGGGTTTCACCATGTTGACCAGGATGGTCTCGATCTCTTGACCTCATGATCCACCCGCCTCAACCTCCCAAAGTGCTGGGATTACAGGCTTGTGCCACCGCGCCCAGCCGCTCCTCTGGTCTTTTCTACCTCACTTTTCCTAACAAAAACTTCTGTTTTGTTACTGAGTTCTGCTATTTGTGCCTGTGAAACAACTCACTGTCAGCCAAATTATTATGAAAACCTTCACTCTTACGCCCACTGTTTATCCTGTTGTCAAAATGTTCTTCCCAAAATGTAGATCTGATCATAGTACACCCTTCCTTGAAGCCACTGAATTGTTTCCTTCTTTAAACTCATAGAAGGCTCTTCAACAGGCATCTATTCATCTTTCCAGCCTCTTTTCCCTTGGTTGTTTATACCACTACCTTGTATGCCAACTTTACCAAACAATCCGCTTCCCTACAAACAAGGCGTGCTTTTCCCTGTGCCTTTCCTTGCTCATCTAGCTCAGGAGTTCCCATACATTGCTCAAGTCCTGGGGTTAACCTCCTCCGTAAGTTCTTTCCCCCATTACCAGGTTGTGTCAGATGCACTGTCCTTTGGAGCTCTTAATAACTGCTTTTTAGTGCTTGTATTTTAGTATTTGCCACATTGTATAACTTTTGCTTCTACCTCTAAACCTAAGCACGTATTTTGTCTTACTTATTTTGTACTTCCTATACCTTATACGGTATTAGGCACTTGACTTGGTAAAATATTAATAAATATTTATTGAATGAATAAATTTTGAAAACCAGAAGATATGTGGATGACTTAAGATTTGAGCCAAACCCAGGAGTAAAGAGTTACCGCTGCGTAAGTCTTGAGATGAACCAACTTTTTTAGTTCAGATTTTGCCGAACGTTTGGGTTTGAGCCACTGTAGAGATGCTTGGGCCACTTTCACTCTGTCCAGAAATGAGAAACCTTTGCTGAAGGACCGGGTTGCTCCAATAGCTTCCTTGTTTTGCGGCATTTGTTGGTCCAACTGCATACAGTATCATTTATAGAAGGGCTGCTATAATAGCTATGTTACTCAGTTGCTTTCCTTCTGCTTCTAAGTTAGTTCTTGTTTCCAAATATGATTGCACCCCACAGAAAATGGTCACAGTTCTACATTCTCTGGAAGAAGCGAGTTCTAAAAATATTTAATTGGTACCTGGAATATACACATGATCAGAAACTATTAGAAATGGCTTTGACACTGCCTTTTGTGCGTTTACTTTGAATACTCAATTTCTTAAGAACTTTTATTCTCAGTGCTACATCCCATGCTGTGTTGATTTGAGCCACAGACATTGCCCAAATTATAGCCTAGCACTAGCAACACTAACATTAAAGTAATAGAGTACTCTTTAGCTTGCTGCTGTGTTGGATTTTTAAGGAAGCAGTATTTCCTTAGAAACCACACTAAAACATACCAATTTTGTGAACATTTATAAAAATACACCCAAGTCATTTTTATTAGAGAAGTACTAAACACTAAAACTGTAGCAGTTTTAAGACAGAGTGCTGTCAAATGTTTTGAAAAATAGGAGTTTATTGCATGGACTGAACCAATAAAGGACTGAAATAATTTTTTTAATGTTGTGAAAAATATTCTTCAGTGAACTAAGTTATTTAAATACTTTGTATTTCTTGCAATACAGTTATTTCCATTGTACTAACATATAAGGATGTCTCTCATTTTGTAACTTATTTTTTTGATAATGAACTTGGCAGAGTTTATAAAGTCTGCAGATTAGAATACAAATTGACCATTAATCGTTTGGCAATAAGGATGACATCATGTTATGACCTATTACAGATCTTTCAGCAAAGAGTGCCTCTGTTCCAGATGAACTTGGTGCCTGTGGACATTCGAGAACATCAAGCTATGCAAGCCAGCAGTCAAAAGTATCAGGTAGAGGCTAACAGAGAAGTTGAATTCCTTATTATTCCAAAGGGACTTGAAACTGCTGTGTGTGGGATAAGGATGTCAGATCATAGTGTGTTTGATATGAGTATTATATCCAAGGTGATTTTCTCTGACAGGGTATAGCACGTGTCACTCCCGGTCATCTAGTTTCTCTGAGCTCTGCCACAGGAGAAATACCTCAGTGGGAAGCACATCAACAGGAGTTGAAAGTATTCTAGAGCCATGTGATGAAATTGAGCAGAAAATCCCTGAGCCAAATCTTGATGCAGCTGATAAAGAAGAGACAACTTTGGAAAAACTCAACAGGTATCCTTTTAGTTTAAAGAATAAATTTTAATTTTATAAAAACTTTTGTTGTCATAACAAAAAAGAAAAAATTGTAATTTTTTCAAAGATGCCCAGTGAAACAAGATTCCGTAGAATCTCAGCTGAAGCGAGTTGATGACACCAGGGTGGATGCAGATGATATTGTGGAGAAAATATTACAAAGTCAAGACTTCAGCCTAGATTCCAGTGCAGAAGGTATGTGGATAACTGTTAAGCATAGATTCCTATCATCCAGGTTTTTGTAATCCATGTAATCAGCAGTAAAGAGGCTCAGAACATCATAATACTGACTGTTGCATATTTGTATGGTAAATTTCATGCCCACATAAATCTCAGGGTAACTTTATAGCTCATTATTAATGAAAATGAATACTGAATTTAGAAAAAGAACAAATTTTAGTTAAAACTCATTAATTTTATAGAAAGCATTCATTGTGTTTTTAATTATGCCCCAATGTCTACAAGGTTCATATGCTTAAATTAGGTATCAACATTTGCTTTTGTTTTAAGTACTTTAAGCCACTGTTGTAATTTGGAGGTGGTCTTGGAACATAGTGGATAATAGAATCCTTCATGCCCTCCTTAGACTTTTCACTGAAACTGAAAATTTGTATGCCATCAGTTTGAAAGGTATAATTACTCATGTTGGTGTGAATAGAAAGCACTCTACAGTTGACTTATTTTCATTATGTAGCTGAGTGTAAAGAGAAATAATTAAACCTTACTTGTGGAAATTTGTAGGAAAAGCTATCTCCATGACTCAGTTAAAAGAAAGAGAGCTTTAGAAAAGTTGGTGAGAAATAACCTTTAGAGTATCTTTTAAATTGCCTAATTTAAAACATGTATGCAACTTTGGTTTTAAGTTATTTCTCTAACAAACTGAATTGTAAAATATGAATTATTATAATATCAATACTGTTTGACAATAGTCTAATAATTGTACATGTAACAAACATTTTAAATGTGTATTGCAGAAGAAGGACTAAGGTTATTTGTGGGTCCTGGGGGAAGTACAACCTTTGGCAGTCATCATCTTCCAAATAGGTAAGTAATACAAATAATGTCTTATTAAAATATAGACTATTTTTTTTTTAATCATGAGAATGATGGTCACAAAGTTTGAATTAGGCTGAAGCTAGGAAACACAAATATTAGTAGTTACATGAGAACAGTTACACCTCTTAGTGTAGCCCTCAGTTTTCTTTATTCTGGATATGTTTGACATTTATTTTATAAGTTTTTAATTTCCTTAGAAGTATTTTTAAATGTATTAGTCAAGGACCAGTATACCATTGGGAAAGTGGCAACATAAAGGGACGTTTAGAAAAGAGTCCTTAGTCTTTTAAAACATTAATTGTTTATTAATTTATTTTCTAGAGACAGGGCTGTTGCCCAGGCTGGAGTGCAGTGGTGCAATCATACATAACTATAGCCTCAAACTCCTGAGCTCAAGTGATCCTCCTGCCTTAGCCTTTTGAGTACCTGGGACCACAGTCACATGCCACTGTGCATGGTTAATCTGATATTTTAGGAAGAGAAAAGCAAAAATCACATTTTCATTCAGTGGTCTATCTTCTCTGAGCAGTTACACAACCACTGAGCAACTTAAGCTGCCATTAACCTTTCTTGTACTCTCCTTTTCTCCACCCACTAGAGTCTGCCATACATATTGAGAAAAATTCTGAAAACCAAATATCATTTTGCTAGTTACTCAGATGCAGATGAAGAAAAGTCACCTGCCAAACTTACCACTGATTATCAGCACTACAGCGGATAGTAGTGAGCACAGACACTGAGCACAGTGTAGGAATTTTGATCACTCCCTTGCTCCTTACAACGTGCTCCCCATACTTCTGTGCACCCCTAATTCTATTCCATGTCATATTTATGTAGAGTCCCTGCACAACTATAGAGTGAGTCACATTGCAGGGTTAAGGATCCCCTTGGACCAAGACAATTATTTTATTCTCTTGTGCTCAAAACCCAAAAGAATTTTGCATTCATTTATTTTACTAATACTCATTTTAATGAGTACCTCCTGTTTGCCCAGCATATTACAGGGCTCAAAAATAGACTAACAGCAAAAAACTACAGTAACAGCTAACTACAAGCAGGTTACCATGGGTAGGTAAGAGAGAGACATATAAAGCTGCTTTCAGGGAGTAATGTGAAAAAGGATTTACAGACGATGTAACACTATCTAAACCTTTCATTGACTCATCTGCTCATTAAATTCAGTAACTGTTTCTTGGGCCAGTTTGTGGGTAAGAATGCAAGTAGAAAAGACCCAGCTCTTACCCTCTGCTAGTTTATAACCTAGCACATGGGGCTGGCAGGCTATAGCCCCTAGGCCAAATTGACCCACTGCCTGTTTTTATAAAGTTTCATTGAAACACAACCATGCCTGTTTATATGGTTTATGGCTGCTTTGACACTACAAAAGCAGAACTGAGTGGTACAGCAGAGAACTGTGGCCCACAAAGCCTAAAATTTTTACTATCTGACTCTTTCTTACAGATGAAATGGACAAACTAAAAATCATAGCATTATAATAAATGCTGTAATAGAAGTAGAGGGAACTTTGAGAGAACAGAGACAGGACAGAGCCTCAGAGTTCACACTTGAAGTGAGACTTTGGAAGAATAAAAAATAAGTGGGGGGCTTAAAAGGTGAATATGATGAAGACAAATACTCCTGGTGATGGGAACAAATAGAATGAGTTTATAAATACAGTAATTATAATATGTAATTATATCATAAAAAATATAGTAACTATAGGTAGCATTGAGCATTTATAAAAAATATAGTAACTATAGGTAGCATTTATTATTTATGTGCCAGGCCTAGGCACATATATATTTTGTATTCAATTCTTGTATCTCTTTAAGTGCTCACAACATACTGTAATTAGTTTGGTGTTTTTTTAATGGAAACAAAGATACAAAGAAGCAATGTGAGGCCAGACACAGTGGCTCACACCTGTAATCCCAGCACTTTGAGAGGCCAAGGTGGGTGGATCACCTTAGGTCAGGAGTTCAAGACCAGCCTGGCCAACATGATGAAGCCCCATCTCTACTAAAAATACAAAAATTAACCAGGTATGGTGATGGGCACCTGAAATCCCAGCTACTCAAGAGGCTGAGGCAGGAGAATGACTTGAACCTGGGAGGCGAAGGCTGCAGTGAGCCTAGATCACACCACTGCACTCCAACCTGGGCGACAGAATAAGACTGTCTTAAAAAAAAAAAAAAGTAATTTGCCCATGGCCTTAAATCCAGTAAGCAGTAAAACCAAGATGAAAACTCATGTCTCTTTCAGTTCAAATCCCATTGTACTTAAACACCATATCTTACTGACTTATTAATCATATAACATACTTCAGAATTTCCAATAAACAGGTTCTTCTGAGGAGAGGGGGTTGTGAAAGGGTATTTAGGGGCATGACGTTGGCAAGCATCTCTGAGCCAGGAGGTAAAGGGCCTCACTTGCCATAACAAAGTTTATTCTTCTCGTTCACAGTGAGGAGCCATTGGCTGTCCTTGCACGGAAGTGACTTATCAGATTGGCATTTTAGAAAAATACCTGGCCATAATTTGAAGGGTAGATCAGAGCAAAGAGAGACCAGTAGCAGGGGCAACCACACAGAAATGAAACATTTATGAGGACAGTGGTATGAATGATGGAGAGAGCATGTGTTCTTTAGTTAGGGACTTGGGTTCACATCCTAGCCAGACCACTTTTGGGGCCGAGTAAATGACTTAACTTCAATAGAACTTTAGCTATCTCTGCTGAAAAATAGGAATAACCATGCCTATCTCATGGGGTAATTTTAAAGGGTAAATGACATAATATACTCAGTAAGCCCTGGCTTTATTAATTTAGGTAAAGGAATGGCAAAAAATATAGTTCCAACCAAATGAAATGTTTTTTTGAGAGATAGGGTCTCATTCTGTCACCCAGGCTGGAGTGCAGTGGTGCAATCTCGGCTCACACAGCCTTCAACTCTGGGCTCAGCCTGCTGAGTAGCTAGGACTACAGGCATGTACCACCATGCCCAGCATTCATTGATTCATTCATTCATTCATTTATTTGTAGAGACAGAGTCTCGTTACTGTGTTGCCCAGGCCTCAAGTGATCCTCCTACCACAGCCTCTCAAAGTGCTGGGAATACAGGCATGAGCCATTGTGCCAAGCCTTCAAGCAAAAGGAATTTAAATAGTAAACGGTAAAAACCATGGTCTGTCTTATCAGACTGCCTGGGGTCAAGTCCTAGCTCTTCCACTATTGATTGAGAGTATTAACCTCTGTGAGTCTGTTTCCTTACCTATAAAATGCGAGTGATAAATAAGATACCAAACTCATGGGATGTAAGATTAAATTAGATGACTTAACGTAAAGCTTTTTGGTTTTCGTTTTTGAAAGACAGGGTCTCCCTCTGTTGCCCAGGCTGGGGTGCAGTGATGTGATCATAGCTCTTCATGCAATCAAAGAGGATCACTTCAGTGCAGCCTCCAATTCCTGCACTCAAACAATCCTCCTGCCTCAGCCTCCTGAGTAGCTAGGACTACAGGTGTGAGCCATCATTCCCAGCTTTCTTTTTTTAACTTTCTGGGGAGACGAGGTCTTGCTGTGTTGCCCAGGAGACAGCCTGGCCCACCCGGGTTTTCTTCCCGGGACCTGTATGCAGCTGCCTGCTTGCCTTTAGGGACATTAAATTTTTTCTGACAAGAAGTCTGCCTATATTTTTATTTTATTCTTCTGTATATGATTTGTCTTTTATCTCTGGCTGCTTTTTTTTTTTTTTTTTTTTTTTTTGAGATGGAGTTTCGCTCTTGTTACCCAGGCTGGAGTGCAATGGCGCGATCTCAGCTCACCGCAACCTCCGCCTCCTGGGTTCAGGCAATTCTCCTGCCTCAGCCTCCTGAGTAGCTGGGATTACAGGCACACGCCACCGTGCCCAGCTAATTTTTTGTGTTTTTAGTAGAGACGGGGTTTCACCATGTTGACCAGGATGGTCTCGATCTCTCGACCTCGTGATCCACCCGCCTCGGCCTCCCAAAGTGCTGGGATTACAGGCTTGAGCCACCGCGCCCGGCCTCTGGCTGCTTTTAAGATTTTCTCTTTATTACTGATTTTTAGCAGTTTGGCTGTGATGTCCCTTGATACATTCTTCCTTGTGTTTATTCTGCTTGAGGTTCATTGAGCTTTTTTGGATCTATGGGTTTACAGTTTTCATCAAATTTGGAATTCTCTAGCTAGTATTTTCCCCAGCCCCTCCTTCTATTATCCTGATCTACAAATTCTAGTCCCCAGACCCTCTGAGCTTTGACCTCTGACTCCTCTACTCAGAGAGACCAGCAGGCTGTGTCTGGGGTCTTCCTCTCTGACTGCAGGCTCAGAAGATCCTGAAAGAGACTGCTTCAGTCAGCATGCTGGGGAAGTTGTTAGGTTTTTTTCATTTATTTCTTTTTTTCTTGGGACCACAGTCCTGCACTGCCTATTGTCTAGTACGTGCAAACTGGTTTCATTTATTCTATCCAGTTTTTTAATTGTTTAAGGCAAGAGGGAAAGTCTGGTTCCTGTTATTTCATCATGCCCAGAAGCAGAACATATTTAAAAGAGCCTGTAAAAGCCAGTGTGTCATGCTGCCCACCATGGTTACTTCACAGTCTGATTTTCTGTAGGTTTGAATGGGTGTTCACTGGCATTCTGTTGAGGAAGTTCCTATTTCTTCTGTAGAATGAATCTGTGAGAACAGGAGTTTCTGAGCAATCAACTGAGAGGTCCAGCCAAGACCGTGGTGGGCTAGTAATCACTATCTTACTTCTGTTGTTTAGAATTTCCTCTTAAAATGTCATTAAGGGAGACAGTAGTCATGGTGGTTGCTTTTGGGCTTACTAAACTTAGGCACACTCAGGGTGAAATGACAAATAGTACGGTATACCCTGACATCTTGACAAATTGGGAAGTGGGTACTTGGTGATAACTTTAGGCAGTAATGGGCCAGGCATGGAGGCTCCTGCCTGTAATCCAGCATTTTGAAAGGCTGAGTTAGGAGGATTGCTTGGGCCCATGAGTTCTGGTTGCAGTGAGCTTCGATCATGCCACTGCACTTCCATCTCGGCAGCAGAATGAGACACTATCATGAAAATGCCAAAATATTATGATAGCTGAAGACAGTCATCATTAACTAAGTACAAGTCCTGATGCACTGCCAGGGTCAACATAGACTCTTGGACGAGACTGATTTTAGAATGAATAGATAAATATGTTTGAAGAACATTTCTTGCCACCAGTTGTTGATAGGTCAAGAATTGGGGAATTCTACTAGATTATTGTGGGAATAAGTGTGAGAGAATCATGATCAAGGCTAATCCAATGTATTAAACATTTAATATTCCACGCATTTTCTATCTGTGATACCTTTAAACCTTGTGGAAAGCAAATCTAGTAGAAAAATACCCAGTGCCCCATCTTTCCAGGGCAAGGTTACTTGGAACAGTTTCAAACATTACGGCTCATAATTTTGAAGTTTTTTTTCCCCTGCTGTTTTAGGGTGGGGTCTGGAGCTTATGAACAAGTTGTGATCAAACGCTAGAAGTCAAGCCGGTGAAAACATTTCCCTGTGGATTTAAGATGTAAGTAGTTGATGTATCAAGGCATTTTATTCAAGCACTTAATAGAAAATGAACCTCAGCTCTCAAGAGGAAAGCCACTGCTGATTTCTTCTCTGGAAGGACCCACCGCCATCCTGTACCAGCCACCAAAGGGGAACATTTGCATGGCAGTTTCCAGGCACCGTGCTGCTGTGTGCCTTGGAAGCACCAGGCTTCTGTGGTCACTGCACTTAATAATAAAGAGCCTGCTTTTTCTTTCAGAACACCCCAGTGGAGAAAACAGCATTATACACATCAAAGTATAATTTTAGGATTCAAATGTAAAAATCTGTGATAAAGGTGCTCAATAGATTTGGGCTTATTTGAGTTTTTTTAGTTTTATGTTTGAGAGACAGTACATGAATATAACTTAAACCCTATAGATTTTGTCAAGATAGTTATAATTCCTGTTCAGGAAATTTTCCCTATTATATTACCTACAGCATTGTATAAAGCGTGGGTGTTCATGCTTTGGGAAAATGCTAGACTACAATTTAAACATGTAAAGTGCTTATTCATAATTCTAAATGTACCTGTCATAAATGAAATGATAAGTGCATTTAAGTCTGAGAAGTGAATGGATGTAATGCCGTTGTTATGCAGTATATATTGTCAATTGTCATTAATATTAGATGAGCTGCAGAACCATCCCCCAAGCACTACATAAAAGATTCAAAATAAGTTTAACACTCACTGTGTTGGGCTACCATAGGCACCCTAACAGAAGAGCTATCTTAACTCACTGAAGTTTAAGATCTGCTGGTTTCAGGAGTCAAAATATAGAAAAAGAGGAAAATTGTGATATGGTCAGAAACAGGGAAGCCTTTTCTATGTAAATGCAGACTTACCTGAGGCTGAAAGTTTTCCAAAGTGGTGGTGGGTAGCAGCATGACAGCTGCTGGCCGTGACTGATGCGAACTGGCAGGTTTCCATTTCGTAGGTACTGTTTTCTTCTCTACTGTGTGAAAAGCGAGTGGTTTTGAGGCAAGAGTAGAATATAACATACATCAAATATAGCTTTTAAAATAAGAATACCTGGTCTGGTTCCAGTTGAGCAGCACAGCAGATAAACTTTAGAGTTTTTCTGTTCTTACATGACAGTTTCCATGTGGAAAGATCTAAACTTTCTTGGAATCATTATTAGTGAAGAAGAATATATATAATCTGTATAACCAGTAATTCTCCAATTCTTACTTTCAAAATCATATACAAGAATGGTAATATGTCAGAATAGAATGACTTTGGTCTAGGTGTTTTCACATTGTCAAAATAAGGCGGAAATTATTTTAATACACAAATTTAGAGGTTTGGAAAATTTTGAATAATCTTAGGACCTTTGTTGCTGTTTTTTATATTTCAAGGATTGAGTATTCTGCATTAATCCAATACTATTTTTTTATATATATATTTTATTGCGTTTTAGGTTTTGGGGGGTTCATGTGAAGAACATGCAGGGTTGCTGCGTAGGTACATACATGGCAATATGGTTTGCTGCCTTCCTCCCCATCACCTATATCTGGCATTTAACAAAGAGAGATTCTGGAAGTTTTTAAAAGATGATGCCCTGTTTTATATTTTGAATGTAGAGAGACTCTGAGAGAGAGTTTTCTGAATTATTATACTTTTTATTTTTTAAGATTTATTTTTAGGAATAAAACAGTGACCTGAACATTTTAGCCTAACCAAGGGACTTCAGTGGTAAAGACTTGCTTTCTGCCTTCACGTGAACTAATCCATTCATTATATATTATGGGAAAAATCAAAGAAAGTTTTTTTATAGAGCTATGAAGATATTATTTAGAGAGATATTTATGACATTTCTTAAAACGTATTTTTCTATTTTCAAAATATTATTTCTAGGCTATATTTTTATTGGTGCTGTGCAAATGATTTGCAGTTTTGAAATGGTAAACCTAGATTGTAAGGGGGGTTCAGTGAGGACATTCATCAGACATATAAGAGGTGCTATAATCAGGGCGATGCCCTTCTTACTCACACTTGGCTGCCCTTGGTCCAACACCTCTCTATACAAGACTACGTCTCAGTATTTAAAATGGTACAGAATTCTTTTTTAAAAGTAGAGAGACTTTTGAAAAGCTTAAAATCATGCCTTTATAATCTTAGCAGCCATCAGATATATCTTGATTTATGTAGTAGTAAATATAACAAATATTTTAGTAAATAGAAACATTTATTAGGAAGAAAAAGGAACTAATGTCCATGTCTTCTGTAGTCAGTGAAAGTCGGGATTCATTTCATCCTATTTTGTGTTCTGTTGGCACACTTTGTATTCAGATTTCAAGGCAGTCCTTTCAAAATACTCGCTAAGAGTTGCCTAAGTGTCTACCTATTTTCTAATTTTCCTTTTCTTGGAGCATGTATTGTTAACGTCTTAACCGTGTAGCTGTTGAAAAAATCTGTTTACTAAATACCAAGTCCACTTCTTTTTAATGTTTTGAGTTTAGAAAATTTGACTTGAAAATTTAGATTATTAATAAATTGATTTTTAAATATTAAAGTCAAATTTCAAATGACCCAGTGTTGGAGAATTTGCAGATGTATACGATACTTTTTCTCATTCTATCCTAGAGAAAAAAACTAAACTCCTCCACTCCACCATCTCATTCCAGCATGACACTATCAGAACAATCACCTGTTTTTCTTTTTTACTTTTTTTTCCCCCTTTTTTAAGAGCGACAGGGTCTTGCTGGGTCACCTGGGCTGGAGTGCAGTGGCTCAATCATTGCTCACTACAGCCTCCAAGTCACAGGCTCAAACAGTCCTCCCACCTTGGCCTCCCAAAGTGCTAAGATAACAGGCATGAGCCACTATGCCCAGCCTGGTTTCCTTTGTATATGCTTTTTTTACTAAACTGTGAGCCACAGTGGTTGAACACTTAGCTAATTTGTTGCTAGAAGAGAGAAAAAAAAATCTCTAACTAGCCTCCAGACAAAATATACTCAAATTCAAACAGCGGTTTTAATAAATTAAAACATACAGAAGTAATTTTAGACTTTCAGATTTCTATGCCAACTAGAATACTTTGCAAGCTGAAGCTGACATTATTATTAAATATTTCATTTACGTACATACTTGGAAGTGTCAGGCTCCCTATAGCAACACTCTGAGAGACAGACTGGGCTCGTATGATGGGGTTGCATTTTATTTTCTTAACAGGTCTTTAAATTGGGCAGTTCTGAATTATGTTTGGTCAGTTCTAGATGGTACATCATGTGAAGACAATCAAGTACTGTAGCTGAAATGATGTTATGCCACTACTCATATGTTGTCTTAGGTACTATGCATAATGTTAATAGCTGAGATGTTAAAGAATTTGAAGTTTAAAATATAAAAGATGAATATACCAATATTAATCCTATGTTAAGATGCTCTGGAAATAAAAGCCTTATTCCCTTACTTATGCGATTTTTGTAAGATAATGTATACACAGTATATTTTAAATGTTTGTGTGGGTGGTCTGTGTAGTTACTCCCCTTAAACAAAGCTGACAAAATTTTTAATTTACAGAGACAATGTATTCTGCATTTTTCAATGTTCATCTTGTATATATAGCAAAGAAATTATCTTACTGATATGCATTGACCAAATCCCATAGAGGAAAGACATTTAGTTACATCTCATCTGGGGCTCCTCTTCGTCTCATGTGTTTGATTTTTTGGAAGGTGATACAGTGTGTGGGTAACCATGCAAACACTTATGAATAACTTTACTGAAGTGACTCCATCAATATTGTTCTAATACTTGGAGAATGACCTTCATATTTATATATTAAATTTCTTTGTTTCAACTATACAGTCATAATCCAGGAAATGTTTCTTTTTTTTTTTTTTTTTTACAAAAACTAATTTTTTATTTGTAAAATGTTTGTAATAATGTAAAGGTGAACATGTTCAATAAAAATCATATATTAAAAGTTTAGATGTTCTTTGTATTTTAAAATATCAGTTAAGATTCCGTCAGAAAATTGTGCCAAGGTAAGAAAACAGAAATGAAAGGACCAAAATAACTTATCCCTGAGGGTTTATTACCAGGGAGCATAGGACGGATTTGAACGGCTCCAGTGGCAGACTTCTCTATGAGCCCTCGGGAAGCTCGTCCAGTGGCGTGGAGCTGGGCTTTGGGTGAGACAAACCTGAGTCTGAATACAAACTCCCCTCTGAACCTGGCCTCAAACTCCTGGACTCAAGTGCTCCTCCCACCTTGGCCTCCCAAAGTGCTGGGATAACAGGTATGAGCCCATGCACCTGGCCTGAACCTGTTTTCTAATCTAGGATGGACATAATGCCAACACTCTGTTGGATTGGGATTAAAGACATGGGCCTTACTGTTAAGAGTATGCTACTTTCTAGGCACTCAGTGGTCCATCAAGCAAAAAGTTCCCTTCATGTAGCATCTACACACATATACTAATTCTAGTGTTGGACATACAGTTGCTTACTAAATGTGCCACTATTACAGTATACTCAAAGGAGATCAGTATATCAAAGATACCTGCACTCCTACATTTACTGCAGCACTATTCACAATCGCCAAAGTTTGGAGGCAACCTAAGTGTCCATCAATGCTTAGATGAATTCATAGAGCAAATGTGTTCCATAAACACAGTGGACTACTCTTCAGCCATAAAAAAGAATGAGATCCTGTCATTTGCAGCAGCATGGATGGAACTGGAGGTCATTTTGTTAAGTGAAATAAGCCAGGCACAGAAAGACAAACTTCACATGTTCTCTTATTTGTGGGAACTAGAAATTAAAATAATTGAACTCATGGAGATGGAAAGTAGAAGGATGGTTACCAGAGGCTGCGAAGGGTAGTGAGTGGGGAGGGTGGGGAGGTAGGCGTGGTTAAGGGGTACAAAAAAAAAAGAATGAATAAGATGTAGTATTTGCTAGCAAAAAAGGATGACTACAGTCAAAACTAATTTAATTGTACATTTTAAGAGTATAATTGGATTGCAACACAAAGGATAAATGCTTCAAGTAACAGATAACCCATTTACCCTGATGTGATTATTATACATTACAAGCCTATATCAAATATCTCATATAGGCACATATATATATATATACCCCTACCATGAACCCACAAAATTTTTTTCACTATTATAAAGATTGTCACTTAAGATACTTACTGTCACCTAGATCCTCGTACAGACTGTTATTCCATTCCCTTAGACTAGAATGTCCTCAGCCAAAACAATGCCAACAGTGTCCCTCCGCTGATATTCAAATTATAGTAGCAATTTAATGTTAATAAAGAACTATGGTTTAATGTCAGTTTGAAACCAGATTCTTCTCTGCAGATTGTAAGGGCCTCCCTGGACAGTACAGATTTAAAAAGGTTATGTGACTAAAGAGAAAGCACCCTGTCTCTTGTCAGGACAGAGTAGGGTATGGACACTCTGGGGGAAACCCCCCACACTTCCCCTCAGTAGAGAGGATCACCCAGGAAAACCTTGTACCAGATCACAGCAGAACCTGGCAGGACTCTGATCTGCCCCCTCAGACACTGCCCACATCTCCAGAATAGAATTCTCAGACCCAGTCTTCTTGTTTCGACTTAGCCCACCTTTCTTCAACATCTCGTGGTTTTCTTCCTCTTTCTCTGTCTTACCCTTTCTCTTTCACCTGTTTTCACTTCTTCGCTTCCTGTACCTATGTATCACTTACCTGGTAGCAGCACATAATGAAATCTTTTCTTCCATTTGTATGATAGGTAGAAAATCACTGGTGGAGTTAATCCATTTCACATTATACAAAGTGAAACAAAAAGAAACCTAGGCCAGGCACAGTGGCTTACGCCTGTAATCTCAGCACTTTGGGAGGCTGAGGCAGGTGGATCACCTGAGGTCAGGAGTTTGTGGACAGCCTGACCAACACGGTGAAACCCCATCTCTACTAAAAATACAAAAAATAATAATAAATAATAGCAGAGCATGGCAGCGGGCTGTAATCCCAGCTACTCTGGAGGTTGAGGCAGGAGAATTACTTGAACCTGGGAGGCGGAGGTTGCAGTGAGCTGAGATCGCACCACTGCACTCCAGCCTGGGCAAGAGTGAGACTCATCTCGAAAAAAAATCAGGTGCAGTGGCTCACACCTGTAATCCCAGCACTTTGGGAGGTCGAGACGGGTGGACCATCTGAAGTCAGGAGTTTGAGACCAGCCTGACCAACATGGAGAAGCCCTGTCTCTACTAAAAATACAAAATTAGCCAAGCATGGTGGCTTGCACCTGTAATCTCAG